ATACTAAAATAATAGAACAGTACAAAGACAACTATACCCTTATAGGGCGGAAAAACATAAAATAACATATATAACACTCAGAAACATAATAAAAATTGGACTCACATAACTACTGTGGTCCCCACCTCCTATCTAACAACTAACATAAAACATCTACTCAGAAAAACAGCATAAAACTAATTAATCTTCAACATTTTGTTTCCACATCCACTCCTATGTCATCTCTTTCCCATTCAAAGATGCTAGCTTTAAAAATAAGGATCTGACTGAGAATTCTCCTGATCTCTCACCTGTTCACCACATATGATCACATGACAATGGCTGCAAAACTCTGTTCCCCCATCATGGCAATGAGCGGCTTAACGTCCTAGTCATCCACATGCCTCCTCAGTAAAGCATATTCATATACAACTCTTGACTTTTTAATTAATAGGGGCCACTGCTTGGTATAATGGTAAATTCTCGGGCTGACAAGTGTAGTGATGCAGGTAGTCTAAGAGTGGCCACTTTGTCCCCCAAAAAGCAAAGGTTAGGTTCATATCCAGTACTCCCCTCCCAAGGCCCCAGATAGCTGGTACTAACATTGAATAATGGATAAGGTGTCACTATGTCAGAGTGGGAACTTGGTAACTTAAAGTGCCTGACATGGACTTGTTCACATTTTGATGTGTGGCTAGTTAGTAATGTGTCTACTAAAGCTGCATGGTTAACTAAATAGAATTTACTAGTTCAGGAACATTTAAGATCCTGAGCCCATTGATCACCCCTTAATACCTGATAGAATGGGTCCACCGTCCACCTTTTGCTTGGTATGATGCTATGTATATTTCTATGGCCACTTGTTGAATGGAACATTGGTAAAGCTGCAGTAATCCTAAGAAAGGAAGTTAATTTTTTTTTTTTTAAATAGATACTGTAAAGTATTGTATTGAACTATTGACGTGTAAAAAGGCATGGTTCCCTTATACACTAAGAGACTATACAATAGGAATGTTAAGAAATATGTATTGTCCTCAACAGGAGATAATACTCACATGATTAAAAATGCATTATATGAATGTAGAAATCCCAAGGCTCAAAACAAAATGAAGTGAATCTTGGGTTGCAGAATACATATTTGGCTTCCCTTTTGTATACAAGATTACTCAACTCAGTAATGATATGTGGTACAGAAAATTCACTCCTTGAACTTCTGCTCTCAAGATTATTGGTTTGAGAATTGGCTTATCGAACAATCCACTGGAATGAGGTGCTCATTCTGGAACTCAAGGATCTTGTGTCTCTAGTCTGGTAGCCCATTCTCTGGGAGCTGCTAGATGTAACTTTTTTTTTTTTATCAGTAAAAGAGATTTTCATTATAAATTTAGAAAGATTACAGAAATGAGTAGCCTCGGCTACCCCACTAGAATTTAGAGTTTGCCAACTATCTACTTTTAATTACCCAGCCTTACAACTGAGCCCAGAAACAATGTTCCCTGTTAACCCCTTGTTTTGCTAGCTGATCTGCAAAGCCATTTGCCACTCTTGGAGTCCATTGTATTAACAACTGCGTGTCCATGGAAAAGCATTTAAACTTCTTAATTTCATTTCTATAGAGCCAGGGAGTCTTTTCATTTTGCTTTAACCAGTTTATGACCACTTTGGAATCGCCTTCCACAACCAATTTTCTCACTCCCAACTCCATAGCCTTTTGTATCCCAAAAACCACTGCCTTTAGTTCATCTGTATTCTGTAGTGGAGTCTCCCCTTCCAATAGGGCCTGAGAACAACCCCACCACAGCCCCTTTGTCATTTCTTATCACCCCTCCAATTCCAGATATTCCTGGGTTGCCAAAACTACTTCCACCAGGGGGATCCCACTCTCTTAAGACCTTTTTAGTTGATGAAGAGGAAGCTACTGTCCAATTTCTGAAGATATCATCCACAGTAAAATCTGAGAACAATCCCACAGATTTTACCCATGAAATCACCTTTATCATGATCCCTTCTATCAGCACTTGCATCTTTTCTTTTCTTAAAAAATTCTCAGATTTCTTTCCTCCCATATCACCCAAAGCACTGCTGCCCAAGTGCATCTCCATAGCATTCTACCTCTTCTTTTTGGCCATCTGAAAGTGGAGGAGTCAAATAGCCTTTCCAAACTCTTCGGGGTATCCCACCTGCATCCAAAGAGAGAAAAACCAGTCCCAAATACAGCTAGTAAAAGGACAGGAGACAAAAATATGAAAAGCAGTTTCACCACTTGACTCGCACAAATAACACCAATTAGGTGAAAGACACCAGCCAGGCCTCTTCCTCTGCATCAGACCACAGGTTTTAATTGCACCATGGTAGACCTCCCAACAAACAGTACTCACTTTCGGGGGAATGGGGCGACACCAAACTTCTTGGGACTGGAAACAGTACCCCAGGTTGAGCAGAAGTGGACAAGGTTTTAAAGAAGGAAGCACAACTGAAGGCTCCGGAGGGGTGAAGGGTCCAAAGCCTAGTATCTTGTTTGGAGGTATCAAGAAACACCCCATCTAGCAGCTGAAGGAGAGAGAACACCAAACTTTCTCCTTTACCAATCCTATCACAATCTTGGATCTCCTCACGGTAAATCCTCTAACAACCCATAGATGGAACATCTAAATCAATGATAGAAGCTCTTCTCTCGTTGAGTCTCCATTTCTTTATTAATGGGTTGGATCTTTCTAGGCCATTTTCTTCCTTCTGGAAAGTTATGTTTTCTTATAGCCCTTTTTCTTTTCCATATGTGTTTTATAATTCTATAATTCATAATTGTCCTCTTTAACCATGTGTTAGTTGTCTAATAACAGTCTCTGCTTGGTTAGACCATAGTTAAAAAGGAACCATGGCTTTGATCAGGACCATATTCAAAAATAAAAGATTGAGAATGAAACCAGTTTCCTAGATTGATAGAAAAAAAAAAGATTTTTCAGCAAAAAATGAAAAAAAAAACCGATCTCCACATTCTTTCTATGTAGTTTCCTAGATAAACTGCTTTCATTCTCTATCTTTTCTTTTTGAATATGGTCCTCATCAAGGCCATGGTTTCTTTTTAACTATGGTCTTAACCAAGCAGAGAGTGTTATTCTTCTGATATGGAGCTAAACTTGGTTGGATAAATGTATCAACATCAACAGTCTATGGATCTGGTTGTTGTAGATCTCGGGATGTTGCTTATTGATTAGATGCCTAGATTGGTAAATTAGGTGTATAGTTTTTTTTTTTAATCTTTGTTTTGGTGGAAGGTGCAGCCGTCCAGGGGTTTTAAGGTTCTTAGGCCTTAGGTCTATGTTTATTCAATGTATGTTAAATTTGGTTATTTGTTGGTGAATCATAATGTTACTAAACCTTTTTTAACCTTACTAGACTGAAGCACTGAAGGTGCCCTTTGCAGCTTCTAGAGCATCACTTTGTTAGTATTATTGTTACTGTCTGGTTGATTACAAAGAAATGTTTAGCTGGCATTCCTGTTCAGAAGTACCAAAACTATTTTTGGTGAATCTTGTAAAATATGTTCTCATTGGGTAATCTTTCTGGGCATTTATCTTTTTAATACCATATATGTCCGAGGGAGTAGGCTATTTACTTTGTGGTTCTGATTGGTGAACTGACTATTGCCTTTTACATTGTGACAGGATGATGGCAATGCTGAACCAGCAAATATCAGTGCAGGGCATATGGCTACCAGTATGATTCGGCTTTTGATTGCAGGATCCCAAGCTGGTTGTCTAATTGGGATGTCCGGTCAGAATATTGCAAACTTAAGGAATAGCTCGGGTGCCTCAATAATGATTCTGGCTCAAAATCAGTTTCCTTTATGTGCATCTGCTCATGAATCTGATCGTTTGGTGCAGGTAAAGGTTATCTTTGATTCAAGTATTTTTTTGGATGTTAATTATTTCTCACACCTTTTGTACTCTTTTAGATAGAGTGTTGCTCTCACTTTGCTTCTATAGGGGTTTTGCTTTTGTGCATCCCATATAGGGACCCTAGCAAACTTACCCTTAACCTTAACCTTGCTACTGAACTTAAGAAAGCAGTGGAGGTTTTAAGCAATGAAGGAAAATATTACTGCTTCTCTATCCTCCAACTAGAGGCAACACATGATTAACCTGCATTTGGAATGTTGGCAGTAATGCAGCTAGAATGTAGGAGATGCCAATAATAAGTTGCAGGTTGAAGCTGAAGCATATTCCTTTTTTTTTATAGATACCTGAAATAAATATTTATGAATGGAAGGTACAGTTCATGGCTACTGTTCATGTTACTGACTTGCTGTGGCAGCAATAAAAATATCAAATATGGAGAGAACTAAGAGCAGAAAATTCAGAAATAAAAGCTCATAAAAACAAATTTATTAATTTGGAAACACTCCATTGACTCAATAAACAAGATGATAAATACAATAACTAAGATCTACCTAAGACCACTATTTAGGGGCTCAACTCTTCTATTAGGGCTTTTATAAGACTCAATAGTAATCTTACCAAACTAGACATCTTAAAACTCCTAATTTTGGGCTCATCAGGCATCAGTATTGGCTTCAGGAATAGCCATGGAGACATTACTGTTATGGTTTCTGGACCTCTAGGCTCTGGACATTCTACTTGGTAAACTTATTTGTCATTCATTCTTTTTCATAAATTAATAAATTTTCTGGTTAGCAATAAAAATGACTTCTAATTCCTATATAACTTGAAAACAAAGTAAACAACCCATTCCAATAGTAATTTAAAAGCATTCTTAATTAAGTTAGGACTGAAATAAATCAAGGACAATGATATGGAACCAACAACTACTAAAAAACTTCTAGTACTTGTAGACCTTTTAATTGAAGATTCCTTAAACATTGAAGATATTTTCTTGAAGACTTGAGTAATTTGTTTGATTGCTTCCTAACTCTCCACAGAAGCAACACCCTTCACTTGTAACTGAATTCTTCTTCCAAAACCATTATCATCATTAATATCATCTAGGCTTTGTCCCAACTATATGGGGTCAACTACATAAATCCTGTTTAGTGCTGTATCAATTGTTAGATTTTGAGCCCATAAATAACTTCTTCTTATGGATGCTGTAGTTGGTCTTCTCTATGTGACCAAATGATCTTTATCTATTTTCCTTCATTTTATCATCTGTTGGAAACACTCCTAGGTTCCTTAGAATGAGTTTATTTCCCATCCTGTTCTTCCTAGTTTTCCCACTCATCCATCTCAACATTTGCATTTCTGCCACACTCATTATTTTTTTGGATATGTTATTTCTTGACTGCCCAACACTTCGCTTCACACGGTGTTACTGGCCTCTCAACTGTTCTATAAAATCTTCCTTTTAGACTAAGTGCCATTCATCTATTACATAAGACTTTCGGATGCACCCTTCCATTTTGCCCATCCTGTGCTATTCCTATACTGTGTGAGTCCCTCCTCAGTGTACCCTGATGTCATTGAGTTATCTCTTGGTCTCTAATCCTAAGTGTATCCTGATTCTTATTCCAAAGTAAAAATCAAAAGTTTCAGTCTGATCAGTAGTCGTAATGAGGGACAAAAAAATTGTGATTTGGGGCTGCTTTAGATTTGTACATGCTGTTGGGTGATCATTGTTTGGCCTTTTCTGCATAGTCCTTTGTTTTCTGCTTTTGTCTTTAATAGATTATTTTTGTTTTACCATAAAACATCTATGGTTTCTATTCTATGTTGCATGGACCATTTTGTGGATAAAAAGGGCTTTATGATGGGCTGAATGCTATTGTATCAGAGAGAATTGCTCTCCATGATAGGCTATGATAGGCTGAATGTTATGGAGTTCCTTTCTGTTACATTGTGGTTTTGTATTAGACAAAATTATACAAGGATGAAATCAATTTTCAATGTTTTAAAACTTAAAACTGTCTTAGGAATAAACCATTCTTTTATTATTATCAATATCTTTCTAATCTTTGGTCCATCATTTGTGAGCAGTTGAAGATTTAAATATTTCTAGCTATCAAAAGGAAAACCTTGCTTCTCACTGTACTTGGATTAGTGAGAATTGTTATTACTGATTGCTACAAATATTACATTTCTCTAAAAGGGACAAAAAAAAAGAAAGTCTTCAGTGAAAATATAATAGCTTTTTCCTGTTCTAGAAAAGTTGCATGATTTGTGGTTCCTTTTAATTGCTTGAATGTCCCATAATTTGGTTGAGTTTCTTGTTTACTCAGATATCAGGTGATGTCCCGGAAGTGCTAAAAGCTGTGGAGCAGATTGGTTATCAACTAAGGTTGTATCTTCTTTCCATTGTTTCTCAGCCTTATTAAGTTATTGTTTGCCATCTTGTTCCTCATATGTGTATTCTATTCTTGTGTAGGGAAAACCCACCCAAAAAAATCATTTCTGTCAGACCGCAATACAACTTAAACCATTTAAACCAATCATACTTGGCTCCAGTTCCAGGTTATTCAATGCTACTCATAAAACAACTATACTCTCCATTGTCTATATTCTGCAAATGCTGCACCCAATCTTAATATTTTGTCTTATAATTACATCATCTTTAGGAATCCCAATCTTGCAGCTGATTATGTAACCTTGGAGATAATGATTCCGGAGTCGATGGTTGGTGGATTGATTGGCAAGTGTGGCGCCAACATTTCAAAAATAAGATACGAATCTGGAGCGACAATTAAGGTATGTGGTTCTTTTGACTTCTCACACATGGTACCCTTCTATTATTCATAATGCCAAAGATGCCAACATGAATAGTTATGAAAAGAAAATAGAAAGTCTAGAAATAACTCTTTCTTTATTACAGTTAGGTAGGAGGAAGAAGTTACTTGGACCACTTCTCTACACATCTATTTCAAATGTAGAATAGGCATGTGTATTTTTTAATGGATTTCTGACAAAGATCATGTGATGCTGATGGTAAAGTATCTATTATCTAATTGTCCAATATATAGTCATTGATAAGCTAAACAGATGCATTCTTATGGAAGAAAATAAAGAAGCCTGAGATGTCTGTTTGGTATGATTGACTGATGGTGAAAGAACATCGGTTCCCTTTATATTGATTGGACACCTATATAGATGCTCTCAAGGTTTAAAATGTCTTTGTCAATGGAATTGTTGGTCATTCAACTGTAGGAAATATGTCGGTAATGTTGTACAGAAATAATATAAACATTATGGGCATGAAATATGCAGAAATATGTATGACGTTTTATGAAATGATGAAAGAAGCTAAGGCTTTTACCTCCAGAATGCACACATTGTTGGTCACTTTTCATTTGTTCCTAATGTCTTCCATCTCTCTACTTGATATTCTTGCTAGAGGTGGGGGGGTGAGTTTTTTGTTGCGGATATCCTCCTCTCAGCAGTTATTATTGTATTTGGGGGTGGGGACTTATGATTATTAGTTTGTTCCTTATACTGTTTCTTCTTTTACTTTTTTTTTAGGAATATTTCTTATTTTTCATTTTCTCAATTAAAAATTTCAGCTACCAATAGAGAACCAACCTCCTAACCAGGTGATCAATTGTATTTTGTTGTATGCTTGGATGGGGCATGAATACAAAGTCTTGGTGTAGTTATTCACTTTGACAAATAAAAGATGCACAGACATCTACTGATTCATGATGGTTTACAAAGTTTGCTAGATAAAGTAAGCCAGCCTTGATAACAAAAAGCTTGGCTTAATACTGTGTTTAACCTGCTAACTTACTAAGAAAACTGAGAGCATAAGCCAGAGATGGAATTCATTGACAAGCATTGATTGGGAGGTAGGGTATCCTATCTGCAAGGTGCCAACCAGCAGGTTGGTAAGGTCTCCTGCTGGTCGTAGCGGAGACTTGGGATTGAATCCCGCCTGCACCTAGGGGTGTCAATTGGACTGGATTTGGTCCAATCCAATCCAATGAATATTTTGGACCATTTTGGACTGGTCCAATTCAATGTCTGGACCGTCCAATCTGTTCAAATTCGTTTTAATTTAGATTGGTCTCAACCCAAACCTGGTCCATTGACACCTATATTCTTATCTTATATCAATGGATCAGATATTGGCTTAATCCAACCCAATCCAATATAAATTTATCATGGACGGACCAGGTCCAATCCAATCTAATAAATATTTTGGACCGGATTGGTACAGTCCAATATATCGTGGTCCATTGACACCCTTACCTGCACCTGGGTTGGGGGATGGGCTACCCCCTGTTGTGTAGCCCTTCAAAAGAAGTAAAAAAAAGTTACTGTTGTAAATGAAAAAAACGATAAAAAAAGGTACTGTTTGTGTCTTGGGACTTTTCACAAGTATCTTGGGGAGCAGCATTGGGCTAGCTCTATCCTGTAGAGACTTCAGATCTTTCCAGGTAAGGTACCATTTTGTTGTTGGCCACATGAAAGAGGCATACTGCAAAGCATAATGGTCTATTCTATAAAGCACATTATATACATCTTTACACCATTTTTATATGAGATTTTTGCGTAATGAAAAAAGGAAATAAGGATGGAATCTTACTAATAAAACATAGTGGAAGCAAGAAACTATGTGGAGAAAAAATGAGACAATCCCAAAGATATGTGAGCATGGAAGAAATGGTAAGAAACTTAAAAAGTGCTGTATACAATTTGCTGATGGATACTGAATGCTTGGTTTTGTTATTGAATTGCTTTTATGGTCTTTACCTGGGATCCTGGAGATTTTAATTACAGAAAATGATTGCCAAGGCATCCTTGTGAAATTAACTTGCTATTTCTAGAAGGTAACAGTGGCTTAGTATCAATTATTAGGGTGGTCCAGAAGACATGGGAATTCGAATCCCACTACCACCATATTTGGGGGGGGGGGTAAGTGTGGTGCTGCACTATTCAAACAGCCCCTATGGGGGATTTGGGCATACCACCAAATACCAAAAAAAAAATCAGGGTGGCATATATGGGGAGGGGGTAGTAAAAATGTCCACTTCAATTGCAATGCAAAACTGGAAGTCGTTGGTGTTTCTTGCTTACACATGTGTTAACCTGCAGGCAACAGAAATTAGGAAAGATTTTGTTGCTTGCATAGAATATTCTTTTTGATAAAATGTAAACAAAATTAACTTATCAGAAATAATGTAAACAAAATTTTATTAAATACGAAAACCAAAAGAAAAAAAATACAATTACACCACGACCTTCTGAGAACTCACTAAGCCAACGCCAATCCCATATTGATTACAACTACAGACATCAAATACATTTTTATAATCACTTCCTTTTTCGGGTTCTAATGTTGATCATATCTCTGAACCAAATGACAAATGAGATAGATCTTTAGTTCAGGATGGAAAAGCAGCCATTCCATAATTAATAAACGAATTCTCTTTATATCACTGCCTTTTCCTCAAAAAATTCTTCTATTTCTTTCTCTCCAAATACCGCAACATATTACAAATGAAATTCATCATCATCATCCAAGCCTTGTCCCAACTATATTACAAATGGAATTGAACTCCAGAAAATTTTTGCCCACTTGCTGCCTGATATTGCATGCCAGAAAGAGAAAATCTCCTTTGTTGATCGGGTCATGCTATTTGGGTATACTTTTTTATCCTGTTTGGATCCAATTGGACTTCCCCTGCCATTGAATATTGATATCTTATTCTGATCTTACTTCTTTGCTTCAAATGAAAAAGAGAAGCAAGATGATGCGGAGGTGCACTAGAGCAGTGGTACTATGGACCATTTGAAACATAGTGCAAGAATATTTCAAGATAAATCTATCAAAAGCAGACTTAATCAGCATTATTGGAATTAGAGTTATTCATTGGCTCAAAACCAATGAGTTCTCTTGCTTTTCCACTGAGGACATCTGTAGAGGATGGACTACTCTGTACTCATCCTCATCTTGCAACAGAAATGGTATGATGTATCCCCCCTCCCCACCAGTGGACAGAATCAAACCAATCTTGATGCCTGCTACCTTGGTAATCCAGAGGAGTCAGGTGTTGGTGACCATTCAGAGAACACATATGAGAGATAATACTTGCATATTCTGGACTGATTGGTATTGAGAACTCAATTACAACTGAATTACTAGCTGTTCTGCAGGGATTGGGGCTAGCAAATAGTAGAAAAGGACTCAAGAACAAGATCAATTGTAAGCTAAGGGGTGATACAGAAGGACTTTCGCCCTTGAGATATATGATAGGGAAGCTAGACCAGTGTTTTAAAAGCTGCGCAAAAAGGGCACAGGGGTCAATTTGCGCCTGAGGCGCAAGGCGAGGTGCGTGCCTTTTTAAGCAAGGCAGAAAAAAATAAAAAAAGTCAAAAAAATGCCACAAATTTTCAAAAAAATGCAAAAAATAAAGTATGCTTATTTTTTGTATGAGTGGGTTAATCTATGCAATGTAGATAAGTGCTTTTATTCTGCTATCCACTTTTGGAAGCATACATGAACAGGTTCTTTGTAACAGGATTTTAATCTTGGGAAACAATGGGCAGGCTAGGAAGAAACTGTCAAACAAGAAGTGTGCAAATGTTTGGGGGCACTCCCCTGGGGGGGGGGGGGGTGGAGCATTTCAGGCAACGGAAATGGATGATGTGTTTTTCTCAGTTTCCATTTTTACAATGACTTCCATGTCTGTGTTCATGTTTATCATATGCATGCTTCTCTCTTGTGTGGTTTTATATCTTTGGACCATCTTCAATGATATTTATATTGCGTATTTCTAGTTTTAAAGGTTTCCTGTCCCTCCCCTATGCTTTTATAGTATTACAATTTAAACCTTCTCTAGGTCTGTATAAATTAAATCTGTTATGTTTTTTTAACTCAAATTTCATTTTTTATTGTTATAGGTTTCTGGTGAGCGGGGTGAACAAGCACAGAGGCAAATCCATTTTGGTGGTAGCGCTCAACAGGTAAAATTACATCCTTGGTATAAGCCTTTAATGAATGATTTGAACCAAGAGAGTTCTGTATGACTCTGAGAAGCCTCTCATTTTGGTGCCCACATATGACTGATCCAAATCTATATGTGCTGTCTGTGTCTGATATTGAAAAAGGAATATTCTATTTCACTTGTTCTGAGGTTTATGCTGCTTTGAATTTTGTGTGTTAAACAGGTAGCATGGGCAAAGAAGCTGGTAGATGATTACATCTTTTCCCAGGCAATACGGCAGAGTGGTTCTTAACAGCCGTCGTATCATATATGTCTTGCCTTCGGCTGCTCACATTACCTTCGTGTGTTGTAAAGTTTCATAGCTTATAGATGGTTTAGTGAACATCAAGACAGTAACAACAAATTAACAGCCTTCAAACTGTCCAAAGCTCTTGAGGAAATTTTCTTAATTCGGCTTAATGCGGTTCTTTCACAAAACTGCTTTGTAGTTGCTACTTTGTTCTTTGTTGTAGATATTTGATCTGCTTTGCGTATTGCGCATTGTTTTTTTGGGTATATATGGGTTTTCTGAGTGAACTATTAAGTGTGAAATGCTCCAACGTCCACTCTATTTAGGTGATTATTGCAACTTGCAACCAAATATCCTCCATTAATTTGAAGCAGCGCTCGTTTATTATGTATTTTGTAATTTGGATTCATGTTTAATCCAAGTGTATCTCAAAGCACATTGACGATGGCAAGTGGTTTCCATTGTATTGAAAGGTTGTAGTTTTCCTGTCTAGAGTCAGACATGAAATTAGATGTCCAACAGGCTAATAACATTCACGTTCATCCCAAGGTTTTAAAAGGCTATAGGTGTAGTTGAGGCTTATGGCCCAAAAAGGTGAGGCATAAGCCTCAAAGTTTATAGAAAGTATTAACTAGATGTTATAAATGATGAAAATAACATATAATATGTTAAATTAAAATGATTGAAATTTCACATATCTATAAGCAATAGGTTTTGACATTTAATCATTAAATAAAATAAAAACTAATCAACTAACAAATTATACGCATTTTGCATTTCAACTAAAATACTAACTAATCAACTAAAGTAATAATAACAACAATAATAATTGTTGTTATTGTTGTTATTAAAAGGAAAAAAGATCCATTGTAACAAATTTGAGACATTACATTTAGAATAATAAGAAAAATCTCACTTGATTTATTCAAAAAAATTAAGAACTTGATTAGTCCTTTTTGCATTGAATTCTCTTAAAACACTAAGAAAAATTAATAGAATTTGATTTGTCTTATTGGTTTTTCTTTTTTACTTTTTTATTTAGCCTATAATTATTAAAGTGTTTTTTTCTATATGTTTTAAATTATATATATATATATATATATATATATATATTTGCATTAAATCACTAAGTAATTATTAGTACTTGAGGCGTAAGCCTCAAAATATACCTCACAACTTAAGGCTTAAGGCTTATGGTTTAAGCTTTGAGGCAAAATTTGTACACCTTGCCTCTTGGCTTATTTTAAAACAAAGTTTCATCCTTGGTTGATTAGGTGGAATTGATTCTCGTCTACATCCAACCATTCATGGTCTTGACTCTCCGGGCAGCCATTATAGTTGATTCAAGAGCCCAATTACAGCATATTATATTAAATTCTTTATTTTTTATTGATTGATGTTTTGCAAAGTATACTTATCATTAAAGACTTTAACAAAATTAATGATGTTACTGTAACGTGTTTTTTTAACCATCGGTTCATTTTTATTTAATGCCATGTTACATCAATTTTCATAGAATACACTATGGTTTTTCTCATGTTTCAATTGCCAAATGTCGAAGTTACTATTAATTAATTGTTACCTCTTTTTGGTTTTTCAACTCTTGATATTGGGTTGGTGATTTGGGCTGTAATATCATTTGTAGAGAGAGAGAGATTACTCTGTCATGGGAACAGACATTATAACTAGGCGGTTTATTAATTTTATGGGGTGTGTGGTGTATAAGGTTGTTTTAAACAACAGTTATCCAAATATTTTACTTTTGTATCCCTTGCCCTTGCCTTCTTGTGAATAAGAGTCTCTCAACAAAGGCAAATGCTAGCACGTGGATTACTGTCCTTTCTAGTATGGATTCCCATTATGTATTACTATTTGTTTCATGGTTTTGAAAACCGGACCAGAAACAAAACCGCTTTGACTACTGTTTTTCAAGTCAAATGATTTGACCATTCGGCCAAAGCCTGGTTGGACGGTTTTGGGGTTCAGAACCCGGATACAAACTCATGACAGGTTTCCGATCAATTGGTCCAACCATCCGATCCGATTCTCAAAACAATGATTAACTTCACATACTAAAAGGCAAAAGCCTTTTTAACAACATTTGAACTCAATTACTCAAATTAGTGCACTAATTAACAATGACCCATAGATGATATGGTCTTTTATCAAAAAAAAAAAGAAAAAAAGAGATGATATGGTCACATGATGTCTCTTCAAAAATATGTAGGTAAAGGTTGATTAATGTAATGAGAGGAGCTCCACGGTAAGGTTAATGGACCTTATGTTCACCTACTCTATCTCTATAATTGTTTATAAAATACAAAAAAAGTTCGCTATTTCAGTCATATATCATCAAAACAAAAACATGGCGTTGTGGTCCGTAGCAAAGTAAGGATCCGTTTGATCTGCAGTTGGAATTGAAATTGAATGCCATTGGAATCAGAATTAGAATGGCCTATTCCACCTATCTATTTGGGTCAGAGGAGAATTTAAACTGAGGAAAAACTTTGGCTGTTAGGGGCCAATAACCCTATACCGTTGAGAATAATCTATTGGAATTTAGAATCGGATTTGAAATAATTTATTTCCTCCAGTTTCAATATATTGAAATGGGAATGTTCAAAGTATTGATAAAATATGTATATCGTCAGTATCGCATCGGTACTTAAGAAACGTCTGAAACTCTTTTTATTTAATTTTTTTTCAAATTTTGATTTTTTAAGAAATTAAAAACAAGCATTTTTTATTAAAAAAAGTTGGGATTATGAAACATATGGCACTTTGGAACGTATCATTTTCAAAAGATACGATTCCATAAGCACACATGAAGGCCAAGGGAGAGTGAAGGATTGACCATTCACTCAAATGAAGAATTCCATTCCATCAGACTCAGATTCCGATTCCACCAACCAAATAAATGGACCCCGTAGGTTGGAATGGTCCTCCGTCCCTCTCGGGACTCGGGCCACCGGAGCCGGGAGGGGCATGTCATGAACCATGCCCAACAGCGTAGGATTTCCAGCAACGGTATCAACAGATGTAGTCATGCAGATTATCCAACGGTCAAATGAGCGGCGGTATATACAGTTACAGGCTTACAGCTTTGCACCAGCTGCCCACCGAAAGAAAAACTAAACGTCGTATGACCGGAATATCATGGCGTCCATAACATCAGACGGACGTCAAACCTGGGAAGAGGGAGACTCAGACATTTTCAATTTTAAACAAGGTTGACTGGATGCAACCAACCATTGATTTTTCTTTTGAAATTTACGTGATGGGTACTTGCTTATCTAATTCTTCAAATAAAACCTACTGCGCGTGGCGTGGCTTCTTTCTCTAGCTCTTGTTTTTCCTCAACCCTCCACGGGGATAGGGTGAGATCTGTCTGGAAATTCAGGAGTTAAACCTTGTTGGTTTATCATCCATGGAGAGAATTGGAGATGGATCTTCCGCAGATATATCTCACCCTAGTACTACAGAGTTTGGTGGAGAAGTCCCAAGCGTAAGTTCGAATTTATTCTTGGATCATGTTGGCGAGGTCGTTCTTAATCTCAATTCAGACGGGTTGTCGTGGAAACCGGTGGGAACCACACATAATGTGAGTTTACTACCTTTTCCTTTTATTCGGTTTTTCCTTCTCCCTTCACCTTCCGCTCATTTTCTTTCTTTCTTTTTTTTTTTTTTTTTGATAGCATGATCACGAAATATCTGTATCTTTGCCCTTTTACTGTTCTTCTTGTTTGAGATGGTTTATAGCCGGAGTTTGGGTTGCGTGCATATACATTCTCAACGAAATTAATCTATTTGAGGGTCGTGGTGGTAATTATTGAAATTAATGCAATCCAATGTAGATATAAGCTTAGAAATCTTTTTCTTTCTCTTTCTACTCAAATGGTTAATCACGCATTATGCGCAATGTATTTTCGTTTATTTACATGTTGGAAGATGATGATGCGTACTGATCAATTTATACCAAATGACCACATGAGCTCATAGATTTCAATTGGAATAACAGACGTAAAGGAATTCAAAGGAAAATTGCACTGCTTCTAATTTACAGACCGTTCAATGCCTATTAAAGAGACACCTTGTGATTTGAATTTCCAAATTTTAGCATCAAAGATATGCTCCCTGATTCTCCTCTGAAAGCATAAGCCTACGTATGGGAACAACAATCTAGGTAATGTTGGACGCTTCAAGAATGACAATCAGAGGGTCTAGGTCGGGGGGGGGGTAACTTATTTTCTCATGGGTTATTAAATGAAGACTATGCCGAGCAACCGTGTAGAAGGAATCAATAGCTTTTGTTAAGATTAAAAATAATAAGCAGCTTCGTATAATTAGTGCATTTGAAGTTGGAAAGAAGTTCTGGGAGACAAAAACAGGCAAGACTGTATGGCGATAAAGGTTTATGAATGTCTGGAGGATGTTGGTGTGTAAATGTTGACCCAAAATAGTTTCTGTAAGGATTTGTGAGCCGTGTTATTGAGTTGATGCTGCCTAAGTGCCTATTACGGTTTGACATCTTCGTGATGGTATTGTTATGATTGCCAGGATAGAGAAAACGAGTCAAGTCCAAGGAAAAATACTCTCATGTCTATATATGAAAATGGAGAATTTCACAGATTGTCATAGAATCAAGCTTATGAGATATCTTATGAAAATTTTGAGAAAGAGAATTTGACTTACAAATTGGATATGAATCAAGGATATTGTAAACATGTTGGATTTGTCACAAGACAATTGATCATTGAAACAAACTTTTGATTTAAGGAGTTGATGATGACCTTCAAAGAGAATGCAATGTTTCATGGGGCAAGGTGCAAAGGAACAAGATCTTCATGAAGAAGCCTCAAGCAAAGATGCTAACCTGATTAAGGGCATTTTGGTGAAGCAATAATTTGTATGGTGCATAGGGAAGGGTAGAGGTGTAAAACAGGCCGTGCTAGGCCGGCATGGCATGTCCTGCAGGCCGGGCTGGTTCATGGGCTGAGCCGTGGACAGGACCAAAGTTATTTATTTAAAAATTTGAAAAAAAAACTTAAAATTTTAATTTTATATGAATTTTGATGTATACAATAATTAAATAAAATAGTATAATAAAATTAAAAAAATGTTTATTTTATTAATATATTATATACTAGATTATTATATAATATATTATATATAAAAATATAAAAATAAAAATATTATATATATTATACATAAATATATATAAAATATATATGGGTCATGTCGTGCTGTGCCACGGGCCAGGCTGTGGGCCACAGGTAGCCCGTGACCTGAAACCCCAAGCCCGGCATGGCCCATCGGCCCATACAAATTGTGCTGGGACGCAGCATGGCCTGTGGACCATTGGGCTGGGCCAGCTCAAAATCATGCCGGGCTGTGGGCGGCACGACCCGATTTACATCTCTAGAAGGGACTCAGTGGTCTCAATTGCAGTAGGAAACTAGCTTTAAAATTAAGCATGAGCTTCCACAGTATATGTTGTCTGCTGATGGTAGAAACTACCAAATAAAAGCAACATTTTAATCTATGAAGTTATGCTTAGAACCAAAGGGATTCAGTGAAAACCAAAGTAAGAGTGGGCATATTTAGAGTGTAGTTTTAGTAAAAAATTGATAAAGATAAGGAAACATTAAAGTGGGATGAGAAGAGAAATCCTAACGCAATAATTTCCAATAGATGGATTCAATTACACACAAGGAGGGTGTGGTTGAAAAGGATGTTAGTAATAAAACTTGAGAGGGATGAATGAAAGGAGATCTGGCAATGAAATAGTCTGCCAGAAGTATTATTGTTTATGACAGCACCACTTAGTTATGTTTATGAGTTAGAATGTTGGACGATCAAGAAACAACATCTCCAGGGAAAGAAGATAGCTGAAATGAGTATGTTGAGTGGCAAAACCAGGAAAGATACTGGTGTACTTGTATGAAGGTAACAAGAGAAGTTGGATGGGCCAGTTTTGTGCAGTGCATCAAAGACCTCAGACCTGCCCTAGCAGGAAGGAGAAATTTGTTTCAAGGTTTCAAAAGGACAGGGAGGCTAGAAAGGGTATACTTGAGACTTGAGTTGCTTATTGTTATTTATGGGGTTTATGAGAATAAAACTATCTTGGATCTGGAATAGAGTTTCATTTGGATACGTTCCTCCCAATGGGAAGCTGAATTTAAGTTAGCCAAGTGCTGTTCTTATATGGATGCTGTTTCAAATGTGTATTGTTCCCTGTTATTTAGTCACCTTAATAGCATGGTCTTTCATTAAGTCATTAACAAAACTTTCTTGGTTGTTTTGTGATTGAAAATAAAAGTATTGAATTCAAGTTAAGTTTGACAAACTCAGGAAATATGTAGTTTCCTATGCAACTTTTTTTTTTTTTTCCTTTGGAGGAAGTTCTTGATTCTCTCTATTTGTTTGTGCTAATTCTACTTTTTCAGGATTTAAAGGCTTTCCTATACTGGACAAACATAACATACTTTTATGTGGTTGGAAAAATATAGTTTGAAATATGTAAATCAATTGGATTGGTACATGAAGCTTTTGATTCTTATACTTAAAAGGAATTACCAGAAACTAATGATAAAAAAACATCTTAACTGTTCTGTAGTAATATTTCTATGTAATTAATTATATTAGTGGTGGTAAGTTGCCTTTCAATGTGGATTGGTTCCTTCCGTATCTTAATATAATTAATTATATTATATTGGAATTACCAGGATAATGTGAGACAGGAAATATCTTAAATATTTTATGTGGATTGGTTCCTTCCGTATAGTTATCACCATTTCTTCCTTGTGTAATTTCTTGAATTCTGGTTTTAGATAACATATGTCTTCCTGTTACTGTTGAGGCAACATAAGAAAATTTAGCTTCCATTCTCTAATCATTTTTCATGTTAGTAGGATATGTCTGAATGTACTTGCCTGGGGATAAAGCTTACCTCAAAAGTTGAAACTAAAATCAAATTTAGTAATATTTATGCTGTTGAACTCATCAATGGGGGTCTCGTTCACAAAGCAGTTCTTCCAAATTCTGGAGGTTGTCTTTTGGGTCGTGGCTCTAAGGTTGTAATTGATTTCTCTTTTGTTATGCTCTTTGTTCACTTCTTGATAATATTGTTGCTTACGTTTGCAAGTAGATATGATTCTCTTTTTTGATGCAGATGTATCGGTTTGTAGTGCATGGGGTCCAAAGGTCAAAGACCAATTGTTCTCTTTGGGTTCTGGCTACATGCACTTTTGGCCACACAGATTTGCAAACATGCCAGGTGTGGATAAATCGAATAAATGATTCTATAAACAAGGAAGTAGGGAGACCCAAGAACCTTTTGGTATGCTTAAATCTTGATTCAACACATTTGGTTTCAGGCCCTTTGAATGATTGGTTAGGATTAATTAAACTATTATCTAATCTAATTCATAACTCCTTCCTAATTGACTAGATTTTTGTTAACCCTTTGAGTGGGAAAGGGAAAGGTCGTAGGACTTGGGAAACTGTGGCTCCTATATTTTCTCGTGCTAAAGTGAAAACAAAGGTAAGTTCTGGACATATCACACAAGGCCATGTTTGTTCATCTTTCTTTTGTTTTATGCATTTATTTTTCAATTGGAGCTCAGTCACAGGCAGAATATTCCAGCCACACTTATTCTGGAACTTTTGTCACTTTTACCCATAGAATGGTACAAATACACAAGATGAGTTTATATTATGTTTGTGACCTAATTGGTTTCTTCTTTATAATAAAATACTATAATTGTCCAGATTCCAGAATATGGTCCTTTGTCTGCTTCTTTAAAGGTTAGGCCAATCAATTTTATCAATTTTCACATAATATAGATTACTCTTTTTCTTTTTTTTAAATAAAGAGCCTTCGTAATGGGTCACAATGCATATATTATTGTCAATCTGAACTTTCCAAAAGTTATTAGCTGCTAAGATGGTCTATGGTCCAAAATCACATTGTTTAAATCTTCAAATGATGATGGCCATTATTAAGGCTATTTGTTTAGACAAGATGCTAATATCCAATGGATTTCTCATTTTTGGATAGTAAAGATCCTTATTTCCCCATCTACTTAGTATACAATTGACATTATTGAGGGTAACTTACAGATTGATTGTAACACATACATGCATCATCATCATCATCATCATCATCTAAGCCTTATCCCGTATGGTTCACCTACATGAATCCTGTTCTGTTCAATAATGTATCCATAGTTAAAGTATGGGCCCTTAATTTAGTTCAGCCCTCTACAGCAATAGAATATACAGCAAATCATTTTCTGGAAAGATTTGAGCATTTTGAAAGTTGCATATTAGGAGGAGGAACCAATAGTTGCATCTAGATATGGAAGTTGGTAGTAGTTTTTAAATTTATGGTTTCTATTTGTTATGAATTATAACCAGCTGTTATTTTCTTTAGGGACCCTCTTATTTGTAACCAATGGTTGCATCTAGATATGGAAGTTGATAGAATTTGTGATTTCTATTTATTAGTAGTTTCCTTTTCTGTTTAGGGAACTATTAATTTAAGTCCACTACTAATTTGTTGTGTTTCTATTTTCTGAGCCTCGTAGGAGCTTTAGGATTGTAATTAGGAATCAGCTGCAAATTTAGCAATTGCCAAACTTCTCTTTGAGTGGCATTGACGAGTGTCCGGTGACAGGGCGGATGTCCGGCAATGATAAGAAATGGAACAGCAATGACGGGCGGCCATAGAGGTCGCGCTGGTGAGATGCAGAGGAGGGACCCATTACGGTGGGTCAAGCTGAACAACTTAGGAGAAAGGCAAGGTCAGAACCCTTCCCACTTAGGCACATACGAGGGCTGAGAACAGATTGGAAGGAGATCATCCTCCCAGTCACTGGGAGTTTCATAGGGCACAAGGGATAAGGGGAGTGATGAAGGTAGGAGTAGGACCTTGGGCTCTTTCCTAGAGAAGGCAAAAGGTCTAGAATGGACAAAGGAAGGGGAGGTTGTGCTGAAAGTAGGAAGAAAGAACTTCTTCATAGAAGTTAGTGGGATAGGGGAAAGAAGAGGAGGGAGTTTTTGAAGGCTTATCTAGTTGGAATGTTAGAAATTTTGAACTCGGCAGCCTGGTTGCAACAATGGGCAGTGAAGAAATCGAGGGTGGAGTTCGGAGTAAGGTCAAGAAACTTCATGAAAAATTTATCTGCTCATCCTACCTTCAGAGGAAGAAGCGGGTAGGATGTGGAGGAAAGGGGCAAGAAACGTTGACGGGGTAGTCATGCACCTAGTGCCTTGGGAATTGTTTTCTGAGGGACAGAGTAAACTCCCTAAGGAAGCGGAGGAGTATTGGGTGAAAATTGTCAGCCTACCGCTGCAGTTGTGGAGTGGGGTGGTGGTTTGTCAAATTGGTAAACTATGCGGTGGCTACGTCGGAATGGAAAACTCATACGAAGCAAAAGAGACAATGTTGGAAAGTAGAAGATTGACTCTCTGATTGATTCTCCATGATTTTAGGTCCATCAGTTTAGGAAACATACATAAGTTAGTTTCCTAGAATCATGGGGTATCCTAGAATCATGGGATATTAATTGGAGAATCCCACTGATATAGAAATTAGTTTTCTAGGAAAAGTTAGTTTCCTATTTTATCGCCCTATAAGTTAGCTCTGTAATTCTATATAAAGCTGTGTATATGCTCCTTCCAAGACAATACAATCAATTCATTTTTTCTCTCAAATTCTCTCATGGTATCAGAGCTGGTCACGACCTAATCTACACATAGTATCTCTCCAGTCATCTCTGCTGCTGCTGGTTCAAGAACTCTCTAACAATATTTGGGAGGTTCTTGAGTGTCCTTGATTCTTCTTCGAGATCGGCTATAGATTTGAACTCTACATTTTTTTTTCTTCTTCTGGACTGCTGCGCCATTGGATTCATCCTTTTTCTTGGATCTCTTTGTAGAGACATCGGATTAAGTCTGAAATCTTAGATCTGGTGTTGCCCAGAGCAGATTTACTGAATCCCTTTGGTTTGGTTTGGACCAGTTTTGATTTTGAGAGGTTTCGATCCACTCTTCAGTTTGGCGGAGCATTATAGTTACCTTTTTTTTGGACATTGGCTGAAAGATTCTTTAGGCCTTCATCCACTCTTCAAATACCATTGCACAATCGGAAGAAGTCTCCTCCCATCAAGCATCTGGCGACCTGCAAAACATTCAGGCAGCATATAGGTTGAACAGGAAAAATTATTTGAAGTGGTCTCAATTTGTTCGAACATATTTAAAGGGAAAAGGAAAGCTTAGCCATCTCTTAGGGACGGGACCGAAGGAAGGAGATCCAAGATTTGATGCATGGGACGAAGCTGACTCAATGATCATGTCATGGTTATGGAATTCAATGAACCCTGAAATCAGCGACATGTGTATGTTTTTATCCATGGCTAAAGAGATCTGGGATGTCGTCCGACAAACATATTCAAAGGCACGTGATGTAGCACAAGTGTACGAAATTAAAGTCAAGACTGGAGCGACCAAACAAGGCAGCAAGATAGTTACCGAGTACGCAAATTTATTACAGAACCTGCGGCAAGAACTCGATCATTATCGGTGCATTGAGACTAAATGTGCAGCAGATGCAGCAATCCTAAAGAGTTTTATCGAAAAAGATCGTGTTTATGACTTTCTTGCAGGACTCAAGCAGAATTTGATCAAGTTAGGGTCCAGATTCTCGGCAAAGAAGAGGTACCATCTCTAAATGAGATTATTTCTCTGATTCGTGCTGAAGAAAGCYGTAGGGGGGTTATGCTTGAACCCCAAGTACTAGAAGGTTCAGCCATGGCTACAAGGATGGAACAACCGAAAATACTGGAAGGAATGAAGACAAATTTGTCCTCTGCATGGGACAACAAGGAATCTCTTTGGTGTACCTATTGCAATAAACCAAGGCACACCAAAGAGAAGTGTTGGAAGCTGAATGGTAAACCATCGAATAGGGAATGGGGCTACTGAGGAGGACAACAGAAGAGTCGAAATCAAGCTAACTTCACCATGAATCAGCCGAGCCAAGAAAAGCCTCCAGACAAGACCGAGTTCAATAAGGAGGAGATCGAAAAGTTAAGGGGGCTTCTGAGATCGTTGGAGAAACCTAGTGGTGCAGGCTCTCTTGCAATCTCAAGTAAGTTTTCTATTCCTCACGGATTAAATGTCTCAGATGAACCTATTAGGGATTTATGGGTTATTGACTCAGGAGCCACAGATCACATGACTCACTCCTCACTACATTTTAGCACTTATACCCCCTGCCCAAGCAATCGAAAAATAGCCATTGCAGACGGTTCCCTTACTACCGTAGCTGGCCTTGGGGATATCCATATTAATCCATCACTTGCACTGAAAAATGTCCTTCATGTTCCCAAATTGTCCACTAACCCGGTATCCATCCAAAAACTCACCCATGACATAAACTGTAATGTGTTCTTCTATCCTTCTTACTGTATATTTCAGGACCAGGATTTAGGGAAGAGGATTGGACTTGCTAAGGAGWAGAATGGACTCTACTATCTTTAAGAATCATGCAAATCAAATATTGTCTAGGATGAGCTATCTCTGTCATTCCTTTCAT